CTCCACCACCCTCCGCAGCCGCCAGGACCAGCAGGCCTTGGGCCACGAAGTGCAGAGCCATGGACCGCCAGCCACGGGCCATGGACCACCGCTTTCACCGCCAGCTCGAAGTTCCAAATGCCCGCTGCAGTGGCAGCTGCTAACGGAGGAGCGACGATGACGTAGAGAACGGCTGGGAGGATCGGGATGGGACGAGGATGGAAGCGAGGATAAAAGGGAACACGTTGCAGCTGGTAGGCGCAGAATGAGCCTGGCCCCCAGGGGCGCCAAGAAGGGCAAGACGTATCACCTCTGAATACAATGAGGAATTTGAACAAGAAACCCTTGGGCAAGGAATCTAGGGGCTGACAGCTGATGGAACCCCAACTGAGGTTTGACAATGAATATCACCGCCGCTCTCATCAGATCAGGAGTCCTCCAGGGTCCGACGCCTCCTAGGCCCATTCCGACACTACGCCCCTACCGTATAGGGATGCTCAGAGCACCTTGCTGGTGCAGTGACCGCGCGCCCTGGCTCCACCACCAGACGCCAGCGAGAAGGGAGGGAAAAGGAAACCCATCCCATGTCATGATTGATTCAATGCGTGGCCTGGCGCAGAGAGGGACGCCGCCAGCACCTGGCGGCTGCGTGTGCCCATATATCGGATATGGCGGAGTCAGGTCGGGGATGGCGCGTTTTTCTTTATCTTCGGCGACAACGGGCGCTATGGGGATGGGCGGGGGGAATATGACGTAACGCCCCCCCCAGCCGTGAGGTTCTGGCGCCACCACAGCGTCCGCGCGCACGACGACGACGACAGGCGACCACGACGACGACGACGACGACGAAGACGACGACGACGACGAGCGACGACGACGACGACGACAAGCGACGACGACGACGACAAGCGACGACGAAGCGCGACGACGACGACGACGACGACGACGACGACAGGCGACCACGACGACGACGACGACGACGACGACGACGAGCGACCACGACGACGACGACGAAAACGACGACGACGACGAGCGACCACAACGACGACGACGAAAACGACGACGACGACAAGCGACGACGACGACGACAGCGACGACGATGACGACGACGGCGACGACGACGACGACGAGCGACCACGACGGCGACGACGACGACGACGAGCAACGACGACGACAACGACGACGACGACGAAGGCGACGACGACGAACGATGCCTCCAGATGTCTCCTAAGGCCTCTGGAAGCCTCCATTGAGCTTCCAGAAGTCATCCGAAGGCCTCCAGAGGCCCTCGAAAGCATTCGAAGGCCTTTGACAACGACGAGCGACCGCGAGTGATGGCGACCGACGACGACGACGACGACGACGAAGACGACGACGAAGCGCGACGACGACGACGAGCGACGACGACGACGACGAAGCCCGACGAAGACGACGAAAACGACGAGCGACGTCGAGCGACGACGACGACGACGACCGACAATAAAGAGCGACAAGGAGTTGTGGCGAGCACGTGCCTGCGAAAGTGTCTTCGCCTCCGCGTGGCGTGTAAATGGTATGCTTTCTACCTTCCTCCTCCATCGTCGTCGTCGTCGTTGTCGTCGTCGTCCTTCTCCTCCTGTTGCTCTCTCTCTAATGCGAGCACCAAATGCATGAGAGCACCGCAACTTGCCCGCGACCACCTTCCCTATGCGGATCTCTATGTGGATCCTTATGAGGACCCCTCTGGGGATCCCTGTGCGCCTCCCTATGAGGATGCCTATGCGGATTCCGATGGATAACTCTATGCGATCCACATTCGGATCCCTATGCAGATGTCTGTGCAGATGCCTGTGCGGATCCCTATTCGGGTTCTTATGCGGATCCCTATGCGCACGGCGGCAAGGGCGGGGGCGCACTGGGGGCCGGAGCGTTACGTTATACGGGGGGAGGGGGGGCGGGGGGGCCATGACGCGCGTTATGGCCCAAGCAATAAAGAAACACGCTTTGCAGAAGGCTGGGGCGAGAGGAGGAAGACGCGAATAGGTGAACAGTAGAAGGATGCGGAGGCTGGTGGATGCAGCGCCGACCTTGCAGCACACTGCTTCCTCTCTTAATAAATGTCGCAGATGGACTCACGGAGGAAGTGCAATTGTACAAATTCATACCAATTACGTAGGCATCCCCAGCATAACCCCTCCTTTCCCCTCTCCTTTCACCGCCAACCCCTGGGGCCCCGACATAGCGCTCTGCGACAGCATCACGGCGTGATGGGTTGTGAGACGATTCTGTGCCCCGCAGCGGGCTTCGCCGTGCGTGACGGGCAGAACCAGAGCGAGTTCGGGATCCAGCCTTGGATGAAGCGAAGTCTGCTTGCTGCTTGCAAAGAGGAGGACTCAAGGGGAACGAAGAGGGGGTCAGGATGGCGGCCCCCACCGGACGGCCAAAATGCGGGCCCCGCCGGTGGGCGCCGCTCACGCCTCCGGCTTGGCGAGCGGCTCCGTGGAGGCCCCCGGCCCGGCCATCTCCGCCTCCATGATCTTCTGGAACTCGGCGTGCTTCTCCCTGGCCTCCTTCAGGGGCGTGCCGTACAGGCCGCGGCAGGTGAGACTCACGGCCAGCATCAGGAGGCACGCCCCCACGAAGCCCCCGACCAGGAGGGGCAGCACCCTGTCGGTCACCATCAGGCGGCAGGCGAGCAGCACGGCGGCCACGAGGGCCAGGACGAGGGAGGGCTTCCAGTCCCCGCCGACCGCGGCGTCGAAGGCAACGGCGTTGGCATTGATCCAGCCCGAGCCGATGCACGCGCAGATGATGAGCGACTGTGCCAGTTCAAGCAGTGTGCCGGGCCCCCCTGGACCCAAGAGCCCCAAGAACTCGCCCCAGAGCGCCACCAACAACCCCACGCCCGCGCACGAGTCCGCAATCCCGAGCACGATCCGGAACAGATCTCCGGGCACGCCGTAGAAGGGGCCAATTAACAGGTGGAAGCCGTCCTTCATCAGCTTGTGTAGCGGGTGGGCGGGAAGCAGCTTGGACAGGCCGGGGCCCGCTGTGAGGCCTAGCCCGTAGAGGGTGCCGAGCGCGAGAGCCACCACGCCGGGGATCGTCATCATTATCGTTGCAATGGGCGCGGTGGGTCTGGAGTGTGTCGGCGCCTTGGTGCTGCGGGCTTGGCCGCAGAAATAAGGGAAGGAACAATGACAGAAACATGAAAACTCGGAGGTCCGCGCGGATTTCTCGGATCCGCGCTGGATCCCCCCTCCCTGGCGCGCGGAGCGCGCCAGGGGCGGCGCTGGAGGCGCCGCCAGGGGGGTCCAGCGCGGATCCGAGAAATCCGCGCGGATCTCCGAGTTTTTATGTTTATGTCATTTTTGGATCCCCTGAGACACTCTTCCAGAGCTGGAGGATGGAGACACAGATGAGAACAAGGAGCGTTCTGGTCCTTGTCGGCTGCAGAAAGCAGTATGCGTGGGCAGAGGATCAGACATGGATGAGAACGTTGATATACGTCTTGCGCACAACACATGCATGACAGAAGTCAGAGTGAGTGGGTCGAACGGTCATTCATTGTCCCTGGGTGCGAGGCCGAAGTGGGGATCCGTGGTAAGCATTGTGTGTTGCGTTGTTGTGTTTGTTGCTTTTGTTATTGTTACTGGTGCTGTTGTTGCTGGTGGTGGTGTTGCTGATGTTGTTGCTGGTGGTGGTGTTGTTGGTGTTGCTGCTGTTGTTGGTGGTGGTGTTGTCGTTGTTGCTGTTGTTGCTGTTGATGTTGGTATTGATGTTGTTGTTGGTGCTGCTGGTGTTGTTGGTGGTGCTACTGTTGTTGTTGGTGTTGTTGGTGCTGTTGGTATTGTTGTTATTGTTGTGGTTGTTATGGTTGTTGTGGTTGGTGTGGTTGTTGTTGTTGGTGGTGGTGTTGTTGTTGCTGTTGTTGTTGCTGATATTGTTGTTGTTTGCTGTCGTCGTCACACCCGCGACCCACCCGCGACCCACCCCGCGACCCCCCTGCGACCCACCCTGCGACCCACCCCGCGACCCCATCCGCGACCCACCCCGCGACCCACCCCACGACCCACCCGCGACCCCACCCGCGACCCACTCGCGACCCACCCGCGACCCACCCGCGACCCACCCGCGACCCACCCCGCGACCCACCCCGCGACCCACCCTCGACCCACCCGCGATCCACCCGCGACCCACCTGCGATCCACCCGCGACCCACCTGCGACCCACCCGCGACCCAGCCCGCGACCCACCCGCGACCCACGCGCGACCCACCCGCGACCCACCCGACCCATTTGCGACCACCCGGGACCTATCCATAATGGTTTTAAGAACAAATCAGCGCCTGCGGCGGGCTCGTTGTATAACTTGTGAAATGTTGGCGCCTGCGGCGGGTTTCTCCAGAGTCTCGCAGACTGCCGACGTCCCCACCGCCCCCCCACTCTTATCCGCATCTGCGGGGTGCCACGTAATGGCATATACGCTGCAACCCAAAAGGTCGTACAAGAAAGTACGTAGCAAATGAGTCGCGGGAGGGTCGCACATGGGTCGCAGGTGGGTCGCAAATGGGTCGCGGCTGGGTCGCGAGTGGGTCGCGGATGGGTCGCGGGTGGGTCGCGCGTGGGTCGCGGGTGGGTCGCAGGTGGGTCGCCGGGCGGGTCGCGGGTGGGTCGCGGGTGGGTCGCGGGGAGGGTCGCGGATGGGTCACGGGGTGGGTCGCAGGTGGGTTGCGGGTGGGTCGCGGGTGGGTCGCGGGGTTGGTCGCGGGTGGGTCGCAAGTGGATCGCGGGTGGGTCGCGGGTGGGTCGCGAGTTGGTCGCGGGTGGGTCGCGGGGTGGGTCGCGGGTGGGTCGCGGGGTGGGTCACGGGGTGGGTCGCAGGGGGGGGGTCGCGGGGTGGGTCGCGGGGTGGGTCGCGGGTGGGACGACGACAACAAACAACAACAGCAACAACAACAACAACAACCACAACAACAACAGCAGCAAATAACAACAACAACAACAACCACACAAAAACAATATACCACACCAACGACAACGACAACCAAAAACACCACCACCACCGCCACCACACAACACCACCAACTGCAAACAACAACAACAACAACAACAACAACAACAACAACAACAATCATTTTACCCGAACGCTCAGTGTTCTCACCAGTGCCAGGGTTTTCATGAGACGCGAGACAATACCCCCACTTCGTGGGGGGGCAGTTCAAGCTCTACCAAATATCCAAACGACTCTTCGCGACCACCCAAACCCAGCTTCCCGCCCTATGACGTTGGGACACTTCACTTCGTGGCGTGCGGACGACCGTGGCTGCTACACTGGCGTGGGGTACACACCCACAGAACTTGGTCACTTATTCGGGGCGCGCGTGTGCCCAGCATCCTGCAATTGTGACATACAATACATGACACTGACAGACAGAGAGAGAGAGACAGAGAGCAGACAGAGAGAGAGACAGAGAGAGCGGAGTTGGTTACATTTTTGGGGCAAGTTCCTAAGATCGTCGTGTTTTTTGTTGGTCTTGCGCGCGCGAATGTCCACTTTACTTTTTTTTGCAAGGGAGTATTGAAATTTGATTATGTTAGAACAAGAAAAAGTAGCTCGCGCGAGCTCATGTAACATAAATGTTGAAAAACCATTGGTTTTGTGGGATTCGGACAGCGCGCGCGGAAGGACATTTTGACAATTTTTTCTTAAAAAACCATTGGGTTTTTGATGTTTTTATGTTAAAATCGTTACGAAACCTAAGGTTTTGGAAGGATTTCGTCTTGCGCGCGCGAATGTCCACTTTACCTTATTTTTTTGCAAGGGATTCTTGAAATTTGATTATGTTAGAACAAGAAAAAGTAGCTCGCGCGAGCTCATGTAACATAAATGTTGAAAAACCATTGGTTTTGTGGGATTCGGACAGCGCGCGCGGAAGGACATTTTGACAATTTTTTCTTAAAAAAACCATTGGGTTTTTGATGTTTTTATGTTAAAATCGTTACGAAACCTAAGGTTTTGGAAGGATTTCGTCTTGCGCGCACGAATGTCCACTTTACCTTATTTTTTGCAAGGGATTCTTGCAATTTGATCAAGTAAAAACAAGAATTTTCATTTTCTATTGTTTTTTGCAAGGGAAAACGAGCGTCAACAAAAAACCGGATCCGGAGCTCATCCACTTTTCTGAAGCTTTCGCGAAAAAATGATGAAAATGTAGCTGCGGCCTAGGCGCGGCGCAGAGGTCGCGCACCAGGGGTCCCAACAATAATAATTCTTTAGAAGGAATAATGTTCAACAACAACAACAACAACAACAACAACAACAGCAACGACAACAACAACAACAACAACAACAACAACAACAACAACAACCATGTTACCCTCATGCGCGATGCTTCCACACGAAGCATGCGACCATCATGAGAACCACCCCCATCATGGGGGAGTATTGTCGTTATTCCCATTTCCAGATCTCCCGCGCAATGAGGTCTTGCAAACACCTCCTCCGAGAAATTTCAACATATCCCACCTCGAAACACATGCCCGCGCTCTGCGCCGATGCGACACCGCCAGTGGAGCCCCAGCCAAGGGTAAAGCACAAGGAAGTATCGAGCGACAGGATTGCCTTGGTGGGGATGGGGGCCGTCGGCGGCGAGACAAGGACCTGGCCCTGAATAGAAAGGGAGAAAATCTCGAGCAGGGCTGCTGTTGTTGCTGGGAGCGGCGCCACTGCTGAAGAGAGTAGGGCGCTAGTCCAGCGTAAAACAAAACGAAGTCTCGAGCGGGAACGCTGGTTTTGTTGGGACGGCGGCTTTCGGCGGCGGGGAGAAACACCGCCTTGAGTAAGAAAGGAGGAAGCATCGAGCGGGAGCCGTGGCTGTGTCGGGACGGGAGCTGTCGGCGGCGAGGAACAGCACCGTCCCGAGGAGAAAGATAGGAAATCTCGAGCGGGAGCGTTGTTCTTGCTGGGAGCGGCGCCAATTCAAAAGAGAGTAGGGCGCCAGACCAGCGTAAAACGGAAGGAAGTCTCGGGCGGGAGCGCTGGTTTTGTCGGGGCGGTGGTTTTCGGCGGCGAGGAGGAACACCACCTTGAGTAAGAAGGGAGGAAGCATCGAGCGGGAGTCGTGGTTTTGTTGGGACGGGGGTTGTCGGCGGCGAGAAACAGCACCGTCTTCAGGAAAAAGGGAGGAAGCCTCGTGCGGGAGCGTTGAGCGTTGTTCTTGCTGGGAGCGGCGCCAATTCACAAGAGAGCAGGGCGCCAGCCCAGCGTAAACCGGAAGGAAGTCTCGGGCGGGAGCGCTGGTTTTGTCGGGGCGGCGGTGTTCGGCGGCGAGGAGGAGCACCGCCTTGAGTAAACATGATCGGCCCACGCACCCCGAAAGGAATATAGAAATATAAGGCGTAATAACGTTTCAAAGACACCCGATTGGGCGACGGGCAAATGCAATGCTGAATGTATCGATCTTGGTGTACTGTGCCGACGGCTGTGCTGTGCTACGCCGTGCTGAACTGCGATGTGCCATGGCGCGATTGTGCTCTACATAGCGTTGTGGATCGAGTCCTCCCTGGCATCCGAGTCCTGACCGAACTGATCTGGATCTTAAGCTCGAGATGCCTGAGCAGATGGTAGCTACCCCAAAACTAATCGACAGAGGAGACATGCCAGGAGGACGCGCCGACGAACGTCCAAAAGGAACGCGCCAGGCGACGTGCCAGGGGACGTGCCATGGGGACGCACCGCGGGACGTGCCAAGGGGACGCGCTACGGAACGTGCCAATGGACGTGCCGCGGGACGTGCCAGGGGACGCGCCGCGCGACGTGCCAGGTGGACTCGCCACGGAACGCGCCAAGGAACGTGCCAAGGTGCAATGTTGAGTGTATCGATCTTGATGTACCGTGCCGACGGCTGTGCTGTTTTCACGCTTGTCCCGCTCTGAGGCGTTAGGAGACCATGTGTTTTCACGCTTGTCCCGCTCTGAGGCGTTAGGAGACCATGCATTTTCACGCTTGTCCCGGTCTCGGGCGTTAGCAACCCACGTATTTTCACGCTCGTCCCGCTCTCGGGCGTTCGGAACCCACGTGTTTTCACGCTCGTCCCGCACTCGGGCGTTAGGAACCCACTTGTTTTCACGCTTGTCCCGCCCTGGGGCGTTAGGAACCCACGTGTTTTTACGCTTGTCCCGCCCTGGGGCGTTAGGAACCCACGTATGTTCACGTGTCGCAGCCACCCATGGGGGAATAGCTAGCATGCGGTCGTCTGGGCCCCCAACAGTGGGGGAAGGCACAAAAGCAAGAAAAAGTAAACGAATCGACACCAGATGTGTAATAACTTGACACGTTCCGTCCTGGGGCCCTGGGGAGGCCTCCTGGGGCCTCCTGGGGCGGCCTCTGAGGCATCAGGAACCCACCTGTTTTCACGCTTGTCCCGCTCTGAGGCGTTAGGAGACCACGC